TATCGTTCTTATCTCACGGAAAATTAAGTCTTCCGCTCGAGAGATACCTTCTCATTGATATCGACGACATATTTGTTGGCGAAAAGGGAACCCGAATGAAGAGATCTGATGTCTTCGAGTTACTCGATTCCCAGCGACGCCTGAATCAACTGATCCCAGGCTTTCGATTCAATCTGGGATTTTCGGGAAAGTATTACCACAAGGGATACGCCGACGAGGACTACGGCGACGATTTGTTGTTGGGTTTGTATTAATCTATTAATTTGATTGAATATTTATGATTGAAAACAACTGAATTTGCAGAACACGCCGATAAGTTTTGGTGGTTTTGTCACATGTTTTCACACACTCAGCCCCACCTCTACGACAATATCACTGTCTTAGAGAATGAAATGAAAATGAACCGCCAATTTGCACAGGTATTCACTTCTCACTCTATAACTCTTGGCAAACAATAAGTTAAATGTTATCACTTTAATGTTAATTAGAAACACAACATACCCTTAGACGCCGGCTATTCAATAGCTCCGCACCATTCGGGTGTATATCCAGTTCACGGACCACTATATGACGCCTGGAAACAGGTGTGGAATGTGAGGGTGACGTCCACTGAAGAGTACCCACACTTACGACCCGCGCGTTTGAGGAGAGGCTTCATTCACAGAGGAATTATGGTTTGTATTAATTATAGTTTTATTTTGTGGTCATTTTTATAATTTGTTTGATTGTTTAGGTACTGCCCCGACAAACGTGTGGTCTCTACACACATACTATATTCTTAGACAAATACCCGGGCGGTCGACATAAGCTCGACAACAGTATTCACGGCGGAGAGCTTTTCTACTCATTTATATTTAATCCCGTAATTAATATTTAATTAACAATTTCCTGAATATACTTTTTAACTAATCATAAATGGTTTTGACAAACAGATCAATGTATTTATGACCCATTTATCAAACTATGGTAACGACAGACTCGCTCTCTACGCGTTTGAGTCGGTTATTAAGTTTGTCCAGTGTTGGACTCATCTCAAACTCTTCACTTTACCACCGCTTCAATTGGCGGCTAAATATTTCCAGTTATACCCCGAAGAGAGTGATCCCATTTGGATGGTATGTATTATAGGACACTATTTATACTTAAGGTTTATTTAATTATGATTTATTATGTTTGTAAAGAATCCGTGCAATGATAAGAGACATTTGGCCATTTGGTCGTCCACTAAATCATGCGATCAGTTGCCAAAGTTCTTAGTGATTGGACCACAAAAGACTGGTTCGACCGCTTTGTACACATTCTTATCGATGCACCCGACGATTGTCAGCAATTATCCGAGTCCTGAGACGTTCGAAGAGATCCAGTTCTTTAACGGCAAGAACTACTATAAGGGTCTCGACTGGTATATGAACTTCTTTCCGGTGCCTAAGAACTCGAGTCCCAGTTATCTGTTTGAGAAGAGCGCCACGTATTTCGACGGCGAATTGGTTCCGATGAGAGCGCACGCACTGTTGCCGACCGCCAAACTGGTGGCCATTCTGGTCAGTCCTATCAAAAGGGCGTATTCCTGGTATCATCACATGAAAGCGCACAAGAGCTCCATTGCTCTCAACTTTTCCTTTTACGATGTGATTACAGCTAATGACAAATCGCCAAAACTCTTACGCGAGTTACGAAACCGATGCCTAAATCCGGGCACTTATGCCCAACACCTCGAACGATGGCTTTCCCATTACTCTCCCCAACAGGTATGCCATTCATTGGCAATAATTTGTAGATCTTTGTTAATTGATTCAATCATCTCTTGCGCGCAGCTAATGATAATCGATGGCGAAGAGCTTAAAGCGAGTCCCGTATCGGTGATGAATAAATTGCAGAACTATCTGAAAATTGAGCCCTTTTTTGATTACAAACAACATCTGCGGTTCGACCCGAAGAAGGGTTTCTACTGTCAAGTGATTCATATGAATAGCACTAAGTGTTTGGGACGAAGCAAAGGACGAGTGTATCCGCCGATGGAGTCGACGGCCGAGAAATTTTTGCGCGCTTTCTATTTGCCGCATAACATAGCGCTGAGCAAACTGTTGTCACGTCTCCACCACCCGATCCCTTCGTGGCTCGAGGACGACCTCAGCACTGGGTATACATAAAGTGGCCATTAATCGGTACAATCACTTGTTTTTTAGCATTCAATGTGCCAATAGTTTTGTGCGTTTTGTATGTCATTTACAGACAATCATATTTAGTGCAAACGATTATTTGCTACAAAACTAATGAATACAATATAGAAAAGTATCGAAAATATTTGTAATAATAGTTATATTTAGTTATTAATTAATTTCGAGCT